GTAGTAGCTGTTTAAGCCTACTCTTTCGAAAGAATTCGAATTCCTGCCCTTCGTGACTTCTCAGTCTGGAGCTGCAGCTGATGTAAACGAAGGTCCTCGCAGACATCCGTACTTCGGATCATGTCGAGATGTGTGAGAAAAGAGATTTGCCTCAGAACGCCCATTTCGGTCGCTTGCACCAGTGACTGAAGTTCTACAGCCATGGCCTACGAACTCATAACCGTAGGGGAGCATCGCGAAGGAAATCGATTCGAACACACAGAGAGCTTAGTTATCAGATTCAGCTCTGCTCCAGTTACAACAGTTCAGGCAAGTTCATGCAAGAAGCTGGTTTATAGGAGTTACTTGCCATTCCAGTTCGCCGTCCAATTTTTTCTTCCACTTACGCGGTACCAGTAATCATGACCCAACGCTTCGCGTGCTTTTCTGACTTGTTCTACTGCTAACGTTTATCTGCAGAGTACAGAGGGCAGGGGAACGACAAATCACTATGTTTTCTGCATTAGACACGTTCACACACATGCTGGCTACGTAGTACTCGGCTGGAACCTTTCCACCGAGCGCTGGACATCAGTTCAGAATATAACGAAAAACAGAGTGGTCTGCATGCAGAAACGTCATAGTCTACACATCTTCTACGTTCATAAACTTGTCGCCAAGGCTGCACATGACTACCCTATCAATGTATTAGACAAACAGGAGGGGGTACCTTACACAGCCTTAACAGAGATCTATGCCAGTGTTAGAAGGTCTGGAAATAGCGCCATTTACACAGACTCAGAACCTCATCAACACATAATGCCTGGATGCCTCATAACAACTGACCACTGATCCCACATGTAACAGGCATGTTCACAGCCTGTGGCGCGCGATCCGTTCACAGGTTTTCTTCAGGTCTACAAAGCACGAGTATACCGTATAAGAGAACTTCCAAAATTTCTCAATAATATGGCCTAAGGCGGAGATCTAATCAGAGATGCTTCGACTTGACCGTAGCCACACTTCTGCTGTTGTATCTTAGACTCACTCATTCCGCGGAATCTAATTCCTAGCACCTCTGCATTGACTTTTCTCGCGAGGTGCGATAACGTAATTCCACGGTAACCAGAGTAGACCCCATGATCTTCCTTCTTGAACTACCACTCCAGTTCTTCAGTCCACTGCTGCCTTCCCCAGAGTCAGAGCAATTTTACAGATATTTGTTAGCCACATCATGCGTTGTTCGCCTAAAGCTTTGCGCATTTGCCCCGTTGCCGCCATGCACACTTTTTGTGCTGCACTCGAGTTGCAGGCTTTTTGTTTCTACGACATTTCTTGAATGCCGACCTCTTTTCGCTGAGAGCCCGTTGAACCTCTCGTGTTCACCAGAAAGTGTTTCTAGCATCCAGACGCAGGCCACCTAGTTTCAAACCACAGAATTCAGCGGCAGCCCGGAGTACGCCACTTTATAGAGCTTCCACCCGGTTTAAACATCAGCGGCCATCACTGGGATCTGTTCAAACAATCGTGCGACGTTGCTTGCAAATTACACCCTTGTATCCGCAGAAGAGAACTTTACTCATTTCATTATCTGGTTGCTTCTGCCCCCATATCATCGCATGGTACCGCATTTCTCACAGCGTAGCGTGCCAGCAGAAGGATGATGGTCAATTGACGTGTCGACGCCTCTCCTAACGCGAACATCCCTTACAGAGCATCGCAATTTAGACGACACGATTTTCAAATCGATCATCGATTTCTATGCATAAGCTTTCACAAACTTCCCTGTACCAGGTTTAATGATGGATGTTTCGATAGTCGAAGAAAGTATTTATAATATACAGTCCGTGTTTGCACGAAACCGCAA